CGCGTGGGGCACGGCCCGGGCACCGCGACCTGCCCCGGGAGGGCCGCTCACAGCGTGCCCCGGCCGGACTGGCCCAGCGCGGACTGCACTGCAGAAATGTTGAGGTGTTACAGAAAGGTTTGTGCTTAATGCATAATCTGTGAAACCCTGAAGGTTCCCTTCACCTCCGGAGAGAGGTCCTGGTGCAGAGGAGCCCTCCTGGGTTCGCTGCCAGAAGATGACTGTGCAAAGCTGCTCGCGGACAGGTAGAGCAAGGAGAAAATTAAGCAAGTAATTGGGTCAAAACGATAATTATCATAAACGTATGGAAGGTGCTTCAGCTGTTTTTTTGCAGGTTCCATTTCACTGTGTGCCATGAGCCACCCTGAGCAAAATGATTGCTGAGACACCCCCTCCAGAGGAGAGTCAGGGTGCCAGTTATGGCAGTGATTCAGGGGATGGCACTTTTCCCACTTTGCTGGTTCGTTTTTTATACTTCAAGGCACTGATGCAGCAGGAATTCCCGACCTTTCCTGCACTGCATAATTATATACGTAGAATATGTCAGGTTGCAGTGTTGGTGCTTCGGGGCCCATTATTACTATCAAATTTAAGTGTGAATGAAATGCTGGAGCATTTCTTGCAGTCCTGGGTAAAAGTCTGTGTGTCAGATGATGCACAGATTTGCAGTTTTCTTTCTTACAGTTATATTGTAGTCTTTGGTAATTAAAAAAAATTTCTAGTATTCAAATGCCTTTTTAAGCTCAAACTTAGAAGTGTAGGACTCAGTCACTTCATCACTGATTTTTTTTATGGTTCTTTACCACAACGTTTTTCTTTATTGGTTCTAAATTGATGTTATGGGCAGTTGATTAGTGGCTTCATTGGTCCTTGTGTTGGTCATGTCACAGGAGGAATGAGAAGATTTGTATCTCTTGCCCTCCTGCAAACGGTTCTAAAGTTTAGTGATTCACACTAATAATTCCCATTATACTTAGATTTGCAACTGAAAGGAAAGTCCCTCTTAAAAGAAAACAGTTCTGCCAAAAGGAAGTTTGAAACTACTGGCCGTGTTTGCTACCTCTTAATGTTTAATTCTATTCTGTAAGTCTGGTGGTATCATAAATATATGAGAAATGTAGAAATGAATACATATATATATATATGTGTTAGATGTGGAATTGTGACTGTATGCCATCATTCTGATTCAGATTACTTCCAGTTGCATCAGTATTATAAATTATGCTGGGACACACTGCTTCCTATTTATAGACCTGTCAGTCTGATACTCCAATAAGAGGAGCTGTAGTCATGCTTTGTCCTTGCATGAATAAGAAGAAAATGTAATCTCTGTAATACAGCATTTTCCCTGAGTAGTAACAGCTGGATTCACAAAGATTTTCTGTATAATTG